TAGAGAACAAGGGGACAGTAACCAGAGGGGAGAGGGAAGGGAAGTTAAGGGGAAAAAAGGGGAGAGATTTGGAGGAACAAATATGAAGGACACAAGGACAAGAACTAAGAGGGGTGGAAATGGGAGGGAGGTGGGGAGCACGGGGCAGGGGGGGCTGGGATGGGAGAAATAGACAAAAAACTATACTTGAGAAATAACTAAATAAATTTAAATAAAAACAATGGCCTTGTTGGTAGAATGAATTTAGAGCCCTCAGTTTGCAGGTAAGGCTGTGGTTTGCCCAAATTTCACAAGTCATTTGTCCTGTCATTTGTTAATTTCTTTCTTTTTTCTTTCTTTCATTAAATGTTAAGTACTTACTATGAGCTGGTAATACACTAATCCCAGGGTGCAGAGTCTACTGAGGTACAGACCTGGCCTCCACCAAGGAGCTAATAGCAGTTGGGCAAGCCTTTAGGTGGATCAGCCATTAAATATGGAAATAAGCACATGAAGCATGTGCCTGAGCAGGAGGAAGGACGGGCAGGCTGTTCAGAAAAGGTCCCTGGAGATGTCCACATTCCTGCTAGGGTTCAAGAATGCATAGGAATTCGCTAAGCACAGGAGCATTGAGGTGCTTGAGCCACAGAAGGAGTGCACTGCTCCCATTTTATGTTTGAAATTGAGCTGGTAGGGGCATTGTGAATTAATCTGGGACACCAAAAGAAGCAGCCCTATTCCAAGTGAGAGATGATAAGAGAACAAGAGAAGAGGAATGTGTTTAGTTCTTTAAGAAGTAAAATCTAGACTTGGTGATTTGATTGTGGAAGGTTAGGGAAAGGGAGGAGTTAGGGTTGAGTTCCAGGTTTTTGGCCAAAACTTCTGGGTGGAGAGGGCTAGAAGCTGGACCAGACCTTGCCCTACCTGCCTCACAACCCAGGGCATGCGGTGTGCAGCTTTTCCGAGTAGCCTTTGGCCTGTTAAAGAGGTAACTTGGCCTGTGTAAAAAATGGTGGGGAGTGTGTTGCTCCTCTCAGAAGAGACTTGGAGTGTCTGCTGAGAGTTGAAATAACCTCCTCTTAATTAAGGAGGAGAAGCAGAGGCTGTGGTGCTAGCAGCAGTGAGATGCTTTTTTTTTTTAACTTCTATTTACTCCTGGGAGAAAAGCAGCAAAGCTTTGAAAGTAGTACTTTAGAAAGGCAAAATGCCTCTGAGTAGTATGGGAGTTTCAGAGAGCTCTTGCTCCAGTGAACTGCTGGCTGCAGAGGGAGAATCCCGCTGGGGGGGGGGGGGGGTAGAACTGCATGCATGCCCACAGTGGAATCTGGAAGGAATCCTGGGAGGTTTGAGCACCAGAGTAAGACTTCATGATTTATTTTTAAAAATTAAAAAGACATTCCAATCAGTCTGTTTATGATCAAACTTATACTAGGTTGTTTAGGATCAAACTTAGGAAATGATGAGAAAATACCAAATTGGACCTTGCTATTTAATTCTTTAGAAAGTTACTATTACGTAGTATCAGTTTAGATTGTGGAAGCACCACTATTTCTATTTTTACTTTTTTTTTTGCTAATGAAGAAGGAATAACAAAGAACGTGGTTTGACCGAGGCATTAGGGTTGAACACCAACAGGAAAAACCAGTACAATGTGTGTTGCATTACACTTCACATCCACTAGCAGTGTGTGAGGCACACCCCACCCCACTGCTTTGGAGGGGTCTTGTTCTGCAATCCATGGAGCCTCAACAGGCCTGTGATAGAAATCACAGGGTTGGTGAACTTGGGTGGGGAAAAAAGTTAAATCTTTATTTTGACCAACTTCTAATAAATGTATTTTTATTATGAAATATGCAGAACACAGTAGTATTAGCTATATTTGTCACCATTAGACATCATATCTCTTCATATATTGTATTATAGTTGTGGCACATATCTGAATATATCATTTATGTTTAGTGCTATTTTGGATTTATAGTAGTTATTAGGTCCACAACTATGTGACATTAGCCAATGCCTTAAACAAATATATATATTACTATATTACAAATTGGTTTATTTTAAAATTTTGGATAACCATACTTTAGTAAAATTGGTTTTCTTTTGAATTCTGTTCATTCTGTTTCATGCATTTAGAAATATTCTGAGCAAATTTTATCAGCTTCATAGCTTACCAAAGAGATCCATAGTATATGAAAGGTTAATAACTCCTGGCTAAGATCAGGTAGTTGTGGCAAAATACGTCCACCTGGTGGCAGCATACTCCTTAAAGGTTAACTCTATAATCAATAGTTGTGAAGAAAAAAATTTAAATAACAGTATATTATAATATGGCTTTCAAGCAGTTTGACCACAACCCACAGTAAGAAATAGGCTTTGCATTACAACTCCGTACACTCATAACAGTACAGAAGTTTCACAAAACAATACTTAACTTTTCCATTTGGCCCATTGATGTTTTTTAATCCCATTCAGTATTTTCTTCAATTCTCTTTCATTAAAATAAAACTGCTGAGGCAACACACTAACCTGCAGCTGCAGTTCAGTAAGCCATACTGCACCCACTGTTTGACATTAGGGCAGATCATCTTTCCTTATTCCATATGATTTATTTCCCAGTGAACTTCACTTTGGTCTCCCCAAAAATACCCACACATTTTCAGGGACATAATAGTTACATTTTAAATAACAATAAATATGAACATTTTTTACTCAGCACTTAAAAATTATTTATTATTGATATGTTATTCCTGTAAAAGCAAAGGGACTGATCTTGGGCACATACCGTATCAAGGCGTTTAACAGATTTCTCATGTGCCTGTCCTCAGTCTGTTCCTACCTAGGCAATCACTGTGTCTTTTTTTTTAAATGTATTTTATTATGTGTTTGTGTATTATGTGTATTTTATGGTAATCACTCTTCTGATTGCTTTGACCATAGATTAATTTTGCTCTTCTAGAACTTTATGTAAATGGAAACATACACTTATGTATTATTTTATGTTGTCCTCTTTTGTGTAATGTATTTTAGAGATTAGTCCATGTTAAGTGTATCGTAGTCTAGTTGAATGAATGAATATATCCATTAAATGAATATACTCCCGTAGATAGACTTGGATTGTCTTCCATGTGGGCTGCTATGAATAAAACTTCTTTGAGCATTTGCTCCCAAGTTTTTGTGGGCAAACGTGTGGGCATGCATGTTTTATTTTTCTCAGTGAATACATGAAATGGAATCGCTGGCTTAGTCAGTAAATAAATGTATGTTTATAGGAAACCAATTATAGGAAATCGACCAACCATTTGCCAGAGTGGTTGATCATTTTACATGTTCACTAGCAATGTGTGAGAGTTTAGATGCTTCACATCATTACCAATATTTGGTGTATCTGTCTTTTTTATTGTAGTTACTCTGGTAGGTATGTAGTTGTATCTCTTGGTGCTTTTAATTTGCATTTGCCAATGGGTGATGTTGAACACTCTTTTCATGTATTTATTAGCTATTTGTTGACCTTATTTGTGAAGTGTCTGCTCAAGTTTGGGGTTTTTATACCTATTTGTATCCAAAATATGATGCCCATCCTTTATGTCAGATATATATGTATTTATGAACATTTTCTCCCACTCTATGACATAAATATTCATTTTGTTAATGGTGTCTTTCGATGACCAAAAGTTTAAATTTGGACAAAGTGTAATTGAACCTTTTGTTTTTGTTTTTGTTTTTTAATTTAAATTATTTTGTTCAATTACAGTTGTCTATATCCCCCCCCCCAATTGAACCATTTTTTCTATATTTAGGGCTTTGTGGGTTGGGGTTCTATCTAAGAAATCTTTTCCTGCTCCAAGTCAGGAAGATAGTTGGTTTTTATGTTTGAGTCAATGATCCATCTCAAAATAATTTTTGCGTATGGTGTGAGTTAGGTGTCAAGTTTTATTTTCTTACCATATTTATACTTGGTATTCTCAGACAATGAGTTGAAAATACTTTTTCACCATTGAATTATAACACAGAATTTAAAATGAGAAAATATGTTCAGCCAAAGAGGTGCACAAGTGACTTTTTCTTGCGGGCCATAAACAGAACCTGTGGACCTTTTAGACCAACCTTTAGTCTTGGTCTTCTGGTCCTTTCTAAGTGAGGTCTTTCACAGCTATCCTAAGAGTCTCAGAAATTACTTCACTCATAGGTTGAGAATGTATAAGGCTATAGCTTTTTACAGGGTCTCTAGCTACACCACAGAGCTGCTAGCCACGTATGGCTATTTAAATTGTAACTAAATAAAAATTTAAAATTTAGCTTCTGGGTCACAATCACCACATTTCAGGTGTTCAGTAACCACATACGGCTATTGGCTACCCTGTTTGCTGGTATATAAATACAGTATTTCCATTTTTTCAAAAGTGCTAGACAGCACTAGTCTATAGAGTAGGAAAGAAGGCAAGCCTTGTGTTGTTTTATAGTGTATCTTAATGAATGAAGCTCACGTAGTTTTGATAACTGTCATTCAGCATCTGCCTTCCTCCCGCTGGTTCTTTTCATTTGTTCGTGCTTCTGTTCCTATTCCAAGATGTGTTGTCCCAGCCAATTTTTTTGTCTGCCTACAAATGTGGGAGCTTATGTATTTGTTCTCTCCTACCTAGGAGAAAGAATTCCTCTGACTGTCCACTGAATCATTCTTTTCTGGAACCTATCTAGCTCTGACCTATTTTACTTCTCTGGTGTTGGATAGTCTTCCAACTGCCTCTGGATGCCTGGGCATCCCCTTTCAAGTTATAGCCCAGAGATAAATATTTTGTCTTGTCTATTCTGATTTAAATGATGTTTCTCCCTAGCATCCCTACCATAAATATTAAATTTTCAAAGAGTAGGACGTCATGACTCGTAGTACTGACCCCTATGAACATTTGTGTCTAGCAGTGAACTTTGTTGCCATTTCATGAGCAACCACATAGGAATTTGCGAGATTTTATCTCATTGTTTGCTGGGTGTGAACTAACTCTGCCATTAATGTCTTTCAGTGTGGGGATTTTGCTGTCCTGGTGGATCTTCATATTTTGCCACAAGGTTCAAACAAAGATACCAGCTGGTTTTCTGAACAGAACAAAGAGGTACCACAAAAAATTTCACTATTTAAATGCAAGTAGTTACTGCTAGAAGAAATATTAGCTTGTTCAAGCTTTCATTTTAATTAGTGGACAAGAATATTAAATGATATTTAACCCTTAAAAATAGGCGTTATCTTCCCAGTGACAGATATACAACTACTTTTTTTCATCAGAAACTGATGCATTCATACATTTCATATGCTACTCTATTATTTAAATCAGAAATTTCCTACCTGTTTGTTTAGGGTAAGGAGTACTCTGTATTAAAAGAAGTTAAAGTGACTGTTCCAATTAAGCAGGGATTTTAATCTGACTGGTTGTGAAGGACAGACCAAGCACCTGGAGCAGGTGTAGGGGCTCACACAAGACTGATCTGTCACACCTGTGTAAAATCCCAGTCTTGTGCACTTTTATCTTCCATCATCCTTTTATCAGCATGAGCCTGTGACAACAAGTGCAGAGACGTTTGACAGTGTTCCTTCTCTCGAGAGTAAGTCACTAGTTGGTCACTCAGTCACTACTTAGATGGTCAGTCAGTAAAGTGAATAGCTGTTTGACTGGGAGCATGATGTTGGACCTCTCCGGGCCTCAGCGTCCTCATCTGTAATGAAAGGGTTCCACCAGAGGCTGCGGGTCACTCCTAGTATCTGCTATCCCACCCAAGTACTACCTCGGTAGAGGGTTAGAAAGTGCATCAGCCCTCATCAGATGCTTTGCTTCCTTCAGATCCCTGCTTACTAGAGATAGAGAGCAGAGATAGCAAGGCAATCAATGGCTTTTATGTAACTTTCAAAATATTATACAAACTTCATGTGTCCGTGATATTTATTTGTCACAATAGCTTCTTAGAACTAGAAATAAAAGTAAGTTTTATTAAAAGGTGTTACATTGAGAAGACATTAGTGCTAATCACACACACACACACACACACACACACACACACACACATACACTCTTACTGTGATAACTTTACAGTCAGCTTTTGGAGATCACTAGGAACAAAATTTTCCCAAAAGAAAATTTACAGGGTAATACATTTTTATTCAGAAGGTAATAAAATTATCAACACTTTGCTGTCATAATTTCACAAAAGAAATCTGGTGGCCTGAAACTGGGAGAATGTATCATTCAGGTAAATAACCATGTGCTGCTTTGGTCAAGACTTAATATTTAGTAGGCCAGCATCTCCTACTACAACTCACCTCTGTATAATTCCAAGCTTTGGGTTACCAACACATGTCCCCATGATTCAGTTCAAAACAGTTCATTTCCCCAAAGTGACTAATATTCACCTGAGGGGACCTCACCTAAAATTCTTCTGACTTGACTTATATTGGCAACATTCTAGAATCCAGATTTTCCTCCATTTTCTCAGCTTTACCACCTTGGCCTTAGACTTTTCTTGTTGATACTCAGTCGGTTTTGCCAAGAGTCAGTTTATTTGGAAGGCTTTAAAACAAAGCTGTGAGTATGTGAATCACCTCCCAGCCAAAGCATGAGGCTAGATTTTTCCAGGGTGCCGCACACAGCTGTGCTGCTCCACCTAGTACCTACATCCGGGCAGCAGGGCATGACTTAGCAAAGGTGCATGATTGGACCTGCAGAGCTTGCTGCAGTGGCAGCTGCAAGAGGGAAGGTCGTGCCAACAAGTCGAGCTTTGCTCTCAAAGTTCTTTTAAAATATGTTCACTGACATTAAAATTGCTCTGGGATAATTGTGTATGTGTGGCGGTGGGGAGCTAGTCAAGAAAAGTGTATGACTTCAGCCTATGTTCAGTGTCTTAGTGCTTTCTTTTGTCATTATATCATCTCATGGTTAAGATTTCATGAGCAATCAATTTGATTGCATTTTACTTTATAAAGTGAAAGACTTAAGAATATACAGTTTCTTTTCAGAAAAAGGAACTAATTACATGTATTAAACATGTTTATTTTGATTCTAGCACAAGTAGTCTGTGTACCCAAACAGTTGAACTCAAACAGTTCCATTTGTAAACTTCAAGAAGCAGACATGAGCCCCTATTAGCCTAGAGATTCCATATGTAGCTCTCTTTTGCTCATTGATTTTAACTTGGTCTTCTCATCTGCCCCTCCAACTTAGCTGGAAATTTGTCTTTTCTTGCTTTGCTCTGGTTCTGAAGAGAATACTTCATTAGATGTGGTGTGGTCAGTTACTAGAGTATCTTGAGTACATTGCACATAGTCTGCCTTCCATTTGTCAAACCTGGCTTATCAAAGGGAAGCCTGTAAACTAGAGGGAGAAAGTTTATGTGTATGGCCTTTGCTTTATTTTTGTCATACTATTTTTAGGTTTAGCCTTATAGGGCATTTATGGCCAAATTTTAGCAATCCTATTTCCATGTATGTCTTTCACATATTTTCAGGCTCAGTCATAGTTGAACCCTGCATGTGAAGCGAAATTCTTTAATTGTTAAAACAACAGTGTGAGGCAAGGCTGCCTTTCTGTTGTGTGAACAATGGTAAAACCCTCAACTGTAAATAGATATCTCTGTATTCCACAAGGCCCTGCATCTTTGGGCTGCAAAATGAGAGCAGGAGAGAGGGGACCAGTGTTTGTGTTTCATCAAGAAACACATTTCTGAGTTAAATCAAGTGTTTTCTGTACTGTTTTAGGAGTGTATATGTTTACAATAAAAGTAAAGTTTGGCTCTCATTGCCCTTTGAAGCAAGTTAAAAATTTGTTCTTGCTTTAATTTATAGAGATTCTAAGAGATCAACCTGAGATGGCATTGCAGGAAACCAGTGAAACAGGTTTGAGGTGACCTCGGCAACTCTGAGCCGTCTTCAGTCTTTGGGAATTAAGCCAGAGTTATCAGTCCTTAAGCATCACTTATTAATCTAAAAAATTTAGATTTGTGTGCATTTTTCCCTCTTCTACATTAAGTTATACTTTTCCGGTAGTATAGCTAAAATGGACAGTGTCTGCCCAGTGAGTGGTTGTATTTTTAAAGTTTTTGTTTTTCTTTTTGTAAATAACATTGATACATAAAACAATAGACAATTCCAGAAATTTGTTAGTAGTATGGCGTGTTGACATTGAATGAAAACCACATATTTCTGTTGCTTAATAAATATTAATGTACTTTTGAGAAATAAGATAATTTAAATTATTTTCACCATTAATAAGTGAATATAGTGCAGTTTTCACCAAAGCAAATGGGCACATACAGTATCATTAACAAGAGTATGGAAGAACATCAGTTTACTGATTTATAGTTTTCTACTCAGCCAACTACTCAATGCTATTCCTTTTTAAAATAGACTTGTAAACCTGAGGCCAGAAACAAATAAATGGTGGTGTTTAGATTTTAAGTTTTTTTGAACCACATTTGAAAAATGAGAAATTGTTGTATAAAATACCAGTTTCTGGTTGCTCTTAAACAAATTGGAATATCTGGTGACACTGTGCCTGTACCTACCCCCAGGCAAAGCCGTGGGGGCTGCCCCCATTGACTGGTTGGTGTCAGGGTTCCCTCTGAATATGCCTTTGTTTCTGGCTCCTCTCATCCACAGGCCCCTGAGTGCCAGAGCAGGCACTTCCCTGAGGCTCTCGCCGACATAGTACCTCACTGATTTCGTCGCCTTGGGACCCTAATTTTTACATTGAGGTGTTTTATCTCCCTTTCAGAAATGTGAAACTAAGGCAGAGGAAAATGAAATTAATGTCTCAGATCAGAGAGTGAGCCAACAAACCTCATAGCAAATTTGCATCTGCAGTGTTATCCACGAGCACATAAAACATTCCTTTCAGCATTCATAGCTCATTAAAAAAGCAAGCAAAATGAAATGTTCACTGTTAACTTTTTAATGTGCATGATGTTGACTTTTTTGCATTGCATTAAATTAGTAAGTTATCTCTAATTTTTTAATTTACTTTAGGAGGTCTGTTTACTGTTAAAAGAAACCATTGATTCAAGAGTTAAGGAGTACTTGGAAATTCGTAAACAGCGCAAGCCATCAAATATAGAATTCACAAGATCCAGTCCGTTGACCTTAAAAGGTAGGCACACAGTACTTTGATTTTGGATAAAACGTCTGCTTTGTAGAGATGGCAGTTATGTTTGACTCTGACTGTCATGTTAGTACAGTGACACATTTTAAAAATATGTTCTAATGAAGATGCTTTGTTTGGGTACAGAAAATTAACCAAAAAGCCCTGAAGGGTATTTAACAATAGGCAAAATATATAAAAATAGAAAATAAAACATTCCTAAGGAAACTAAATTTTTAAAGGATTTTTTTAAGAAATAATCTTACAAATGGATCTACTTTAATACTGACTTGATTTAAAGCTTTTTGCTTTTTTAGGTGTCTTCATATATATCACCCTATTTCAGAGGTTCTCAGCTGGGGAGAATTTTGTCCTAGGGGACATTTTGTAATGTCTATGGATAGTTTTGGTTCTCATAAGTGGGGTGGGAGCGGTGAGCTAGGAACTACTGGCATCTAGTGGGTGGAGGCTCAGGATGCCACTAAAGATCCTACAGTGCACAAGGTAGCCTGCCTGCCCCGTCCCACCCCTCCCAGCACAGCAAGGCATTGTGTGGCCTAGAACGTCAAGAGCACTGAGGTTGAAATGTCCTACCCTATTTCTTAATAACACTTTGGGAATGGTAATGTCTTTGATTTATAGGTGAAGAAGCTGAAGATCTGCAAGAGAAGAGGGCTGGCCCAAATAAAAGACCTTTTGTTGAGGACAGGTTATCTTGTCTATTTGGCATTTTCATTCTCCCTTTTCCTCACCATACTGAGTCCAGAGTCTGATACACAGATTCAGTGACGTGTCGAATGACAGAGTATTTGGGTGGCAAAACCTGACCTCAGACCCAGTTCTTCTGACTTCGAGCCCAACTGTTTTTTCTGGTCTGTTGTCTTTTTGTCTTTTTGCTAAGTCAGCATTTCATAGCACTCTTTGTGGTACAAATACAGTCAACTCCGTATTAATCCTCAGAGGACAGTGCTGGACTACTGTGAACTAGATTATGCTAATACAACATCTCTTTAGGAAAGGTATTGTGTTAAGTACACCCTATTGAAGGCATACTTATCTAAAGTATTTACCCAGCACAGCTGATAAGTAGGCAGACAGTTTTATACAAACTGAAAGCCTTGAACAAATGGAATTTTTAGACCAAACCATATTGTATTAGGTGATACTTTCTGGTATAAATCTTGAGAAAAGTCACAGGAGCTTGCATTCCTTGTAGCATTTTTTGTGGACCCGAGCGGATATGGCTAGTCCCACTTTCTAACTGATACGAAAGGAAAAGGAACACAGTGGGTTTCTAGTCCTCCATCTCTGGTGTGGCAGTGGCCTGGTCCGTTAGCTTTCCTCTCCTGTGGAGTGAAGAAAGCTAAACACTCAAATCCCCAGCCTCTGTCACAGGGGGAAACACAGTGCTGGCCCCAAAATGAAAATCAAAGCCTTTCTTGGGCTCATGTGGGCAAGAACTTTGTTTTTAAACAAAAAAGTGATCATACTATACAATTTTGTAATAACCTATTTTTTCCACCTTACATAATATAGAAGTCCTTTAAAAACACGTAATCACCATTTGAAAAAACTTTATTTTACTGCGGTAAACTATACATAACATGAAATTTACCATTTTAACTATTTTCAAGTATATAATTTAGTTACATTAAGTACATTCACATTATTGTGCAACCTGCATCACCACCCATCTCCAGAACTTTCTCATCATTCTGAACTGAAACTCTTTACCTATTAAAGGATAATTACTCATTATTCCTTTCCCAAGCCCCTGGCTGTCACTGGTCTACTAATATATATATTTGGTAACCACTAGTAAATAAATTAATATATATTTAATATATAAATATATGGTCATATACCACAATGACATTTTGATCAACAGTGGACCATATATGATGATGGTCCCATAAGATTATAATGGAGCTGAATAATTCCTCTTGTGTAGTGGTGTCATAGCCATATTCATGTCTTGGCACAACATATTTCTCACTTATTTGTAGTGATGCTGGTGTAAACAAACCTGTGCTTCCAGTTGTATAAAGGTAAAGCACATATAGTTATAGTAGCAGGCTGTACCATCTATGTTTGTGTAAGTACACTGTGATGTTCACACAATGACAGCATCACCTAAGGACACATTTCTCAGAATGTAACCCTGTCATTAAGTAGCATAGGACTGTACCTATAAAAATATATACATTTTGTTTATCCATTCATCTGTCAATGAAGTAGTTGGGTAGTTAGGTTGTTTCCAGCTTTGTTGTGAATTAATATGCTGCTATGAACATCACTGTACAAATATCTGGTTGAGTCCCTGCTTTCATTTCTTTGGTTATATACCTAACCCTAGAAGTAGACTTATTGGATCATTTGATAATTCTATCTTTAATTGTTTTTAGAAACTGCCAAACAGTTTTATACAGCAACTGCACCATTTTGTGTTCTCACCAACAATGCATGAGATGGTTCCATTTTCTTCACAACCTTGTGAACATTTATTTTCTGTTAATTTGATTATGGCCATCCTAATACATGTGAAGTAATACCTCATTGTGGTTTTGATTTGTGTTTCCCTAGTAAGTAGTGATGTTGAGCATCTTTTCATGTGCTTCTTGGCCATATGTACATCTTCTTTGAAGAAATGCCTGGTTATGTCCTTTGCCTATTTTTTAATTGGGTTGTTTGTTTTTGAGTTGTAGGAGTTCTCTATGTATTCTGGATATTAATCTCTCATTAGATACTTGATTTGCAAATATTTCTCTAATTCTATGGATTGCCTTTTCATTCACTTGATAGTGTCCTTTGACACACGCATGTTTTTAATTTTGATGTAGCCAATTTGTCCACTTCTTCTTTTGTTGCCTGTGGTTTTGATGTCATAGCCAAGAAATCATTGCTGAATCCAGTGTCATGATGCTTTTTTTCTTCTAAAAGTTTTATATATTTAGCTCTTAAATTTAGGTCCCTGATCCCTTTTGAGTTAATATTTATATGTGGTTTAAAGTAGGAGTCCAATTTCATTCTTTTATATAGGTAGATATCTAGTTGTCTCAGCATCATTTATTGAAAGGCCTGTCTTTTCCACCATTGAATGGTCTTGGCTCTCTTATCGAAAATCATTTGATCGCAAAAGTAGGGGTTTATTTCTGGGTTCTCTTTTTTCTTCCATTGGTCTACATGTTTGTCTTTTTGTTATTACCACACTGTTTTCAGTACCATAGCTTTGTGGTAAGTTTTGAAATTAGAAAGTGTGAGACTTGTGACTTAGTTATTGTGTTTCAAGATTGTTTTGGCCATTTGGGGGTTCATGTGACCATTTTTAATAACTGCATAGGATTTCATTAAGTGTCATTCTATGATTTATTGCTCATTTAGGTTGCATGCAACATTTTATTTTCACTGTGGTAAACATGGTGCAGCAAATATCCTGATGATATACATATTTGTGAACTGCAAATTTTTATAGTATTTCTAGTTTAAAGTTTGTATTGTTATTGGTCTATAAAAGCTTGTTGAGGATATTAATGCTCTGTATGTTATATGTTGCAAATTATTTTTCTCAGTTTGTCATTTGCCTTTGACTTGGTTTATTTAACTGTACAACCCCAAGGAAGAAGCCTTTATTTGCTTCATGGAGGCTCGGCGACCACCAGCAGGATGAATGCTGGACTTCTTTGTAGTGAGATAAGTAGTACAGTTTATTGCCAGTGGGAGGAAGCAGGATGGTGCTAATGCAACCACTGATTAGAAAAATATTGTGCTAAGTATATTCTTTGAAAGTAAACTTGGGGTGAGTTCCACCAAGATGGAGGCATAGGTGGAAGCACTGCGCCTCCTCCCACAACTAAGTTTAAAAACAACAAAGTTTTAGCAACAAAAACACAGCCAAACCACAGAAAATTGAACTACACGGAAGTCTGACAACAACGAACCCTTCAGCCAAACCGGTAAGAGGGGCAGAGCCAGCAGGAGAGCAGGGTCCGGCAGGAAAGATTCACTGGACTGACCCGGGAGCACAACCCAGGTGCGCCAGCAGCTGTGGGTGGATCCCAGGTGTGGAGAAGCCAGTGGACCCACTGAGGGCGCAAGGCGGTGGACCCACTGAGGGTTGATCACGGTCACACATTCACTAGCAGATAAACCGGTGAAGGAGTGAGCAATGAGATGGACCGCACAGGCCCCAGTGGCAGGAAGCGGCAGAGGGAACTGCCATTGTCCCTCTCTGACCCCGCCCCCACATACGGCTTCACAAACCAGCAACCTTGGTGGCCCCACCCTGGTAAACAACTAAGGCTCCTCTCCTCAAACTGTAACGGGCACAAACAGATCAAAACATGGCTCAAGAACTCAGAGCCCCAGAGTCCATAAATCTAAGCCATGAAGAAATAGCCAAACTTTCAGATGCACAGTTCAAAACACTGGTGATCAGGATGCTCACAGAACTGGTTGATTTTAGTCACAAATTAGAGGAACATATGAAGGCTAAACTAATTGAAATGAATGGAAATACACAGGAAACCAATAGTAATGGAAAGGAAATTGGGACTCAAATCAAAGGAGTGGACCAGAAGGAGGAAAAAAATGACCAAACAGAAAAGGATGAAGAAACAAGAATTCAAAAAATGAGGAGAGGCTTAGGAACCTCCAGGACATCTTTATACGTTCCAACATCCGAATTATAGGGGTAGCAGAAGGGGAAGAGGAACAGCCACAAGTGGAAACCTTATTTGAACAAATAATAAAGCAGAACTTCCCCAATCTGGCAAAGGAAATAGACTTCCGAGAAATCCAGGAAGCTCAGAGAGTCCCAAAGGAGTTGGACCCAAGAAGGAACACACCAAGGCACATCATCATTGCCTTAGGCAAGATTAAAATGAAGGAGAGAATCCTAGAAGCGGCAAGAGATAAGGGGACAGTCACCTACAAAGGAGTTCCCATCAGACTGTCAGCTGATTTCTCAAAAGAGACCTTACAGGCAAGAAGGGGCTGGAAACAAATATTCC